TCCTCACACTCAATATCTGCTGTTAATTTGCCTGCTATTTCAAGAACTTAAAGACTGTCAGCAAAATCCGTGATGCATTACAAAACTTATAATTGAAAAAGGGGAAAAAAAAAACCCAACATCTGATGCTTTTCTGACAGGATAAACAGAAAGTCTGAGGACGCGGATCAGAACGAGGGAGATGTGCTAACTTAGAGCTGCTTGAATTAAAATATAATTGCAAACGGAGCAGAGAAAGAAACAGTTATAGAAGGAAGTTTGAACTTATGCAAAGCCTTTTGATGAAACGCACAATATTTACACGGTTCTAAAAAGAAAAGTGCAAAAGTTGTTATTTCTAAGGCAGATGAACAAGTGTCTCTCCCTTAAGGCTGCATTATCTATGCCAATTAAAACTGCGCTTCTGAAAAAGAAGTTCAGGCACTTCCTCTAGAGTTACTAAAAAAAGCAAATGAAAGCCTTGGCTCCGCAGAGGTGAGCGACAACCACTCGTTTGTTCTTGACCTCTGCATCACCCTGCAGATCAAATTCTTGGACATAGGAAAAACCCGCCAGTATTCATTAAAAGCAACTGGGAGGCCAGCTTTGTGCTTCGCTTCTCCAGAGCCGAGCAAGCTGCAACCTGACAAAGGTGCAGGATATTGCCTAACAATGGCACTGCTCCTGTCAGAAGGGAAGGGCTTTATCCCCGGCTTCATTCAAAACAAAGCCATTTTATGCACAGTGATGCAAATCACAGGTTTTGAGCCATCATTTAAATAATCAATTTTTCATCTTTTACGTTTGTGCTTTTCCATTACTACCATAAAGTCGACTCAATTAACCATTAAAATGCATTGATTTATACCAAACTAGCTTTTATGCAGAACATTTCTGCTCCTCAAAAAGATTCATCTCTGCAGTGATTTAAACAAATATTTATGCTGAAAGTCTTTGGTCTTCAGTTTCACTTTTCGTTCTGTTGCATATGGGTGGAATTTGCCCACGTATTTTAATAGCAAAAAAAACAACATAACTGCTTATGGGATTTTACACCAGTGACACTTTTTGTGAAACATTATGGAGAACAGGATTTAAAACAGATAAATAAACCTACCATCTAATTATTCACGCAATTACATACCACACAGCTCTAAGCACACACAAGTTGAACACGACATTTTCTCATTACAACTTCTTGTGTCTTTTAAACAAACCAAAAAACAGCTAGTTGAGGAGCAGGACAAAACAAGACAGAAAATATTTTCCCTGAACAATTGGTTCTGTCAAAATGTGGTTTAAGCAAACTCTGGCTCCTGTTAACTGCAGCTCTCCAGTGGTTTGACTGCTTTAAAGCCTTATCCAAATCCAGACATTGCTAGAATATTTGCATTCAAATGGCAGTAGCACACTATAAGTAAATGCAGACCTCAGCACGGATGAACAGTTACAAACATTATTTAAACTCCTGTAATTTAAAGTAATAACATTTGAATTTAAGTAAAATATGTGATCGCTTAAGTACCTGAAGATGCATAAAAGCACAGGGCCTCTGCCCACCCTCCTAAAGATACAGCAGCATATGAGTAATGCTTATGTGACCTTGACATACGGAGCCTTAAAATTTCAACTTCAGTGATCCATTACTGTTTGTAATTTTATCTATTTAGTAACCAGCCTTAATCTCACATGTACGAAGGGTAAAATCTCTCTATTGGAGTCCTGAAGAGTTTTGACCACATGAAGTATAAACTATTAGGGCAAAGTCAGAAGGACTAGAAAGGAGAGAAACATTTGGTGGATAATCTGCAGACTCAACGGACAACCTTCAGCCACTTAACTCCTTTCGAGGCACATCCAAGAATCTCCTTCCCAAGGTGTGAAAACATCTGTTAGATTTTCCTCCTCTGAAAGCGAGCAGAGCCCAGAGCTGCCTCACGTCCCACCTTGCTCTTTCCTCTGCTAGAGGCTGTTGCTCTGTTTCCAAGTCCCCTTCAGCTAATGCCATTTAATGCTCTCAGAACCATCAGACTAAATTCAAATTTTCTGCTCCTTAGAGGCTGTTGATATGCACCGCTGCACATTCCAATTGCAAATACACATGAATGCTCCTGTGTATTCTAAGTTATTTTCTACACACAAATTCTACTAAATTGTAAGTTAGGAGGCACTACTTGAATTCTCTCAGGTCTTTAGGAAGCTTTCAGATGCACCAGGAGCAATAAGACGTAATGAATATGGACTGATATTTCTTTTCTGTAGTTACACTGAGTTAGCAATTTACATTTTCTAAACAGATAGATGACTTATAGCCAGTTTTTCCAGTCTTCTGGCAATTACTTCTTAGAATCCTCTGACAGGCTGAAGCCTCCAGAATCACAGCTGTTATTCTTGGGTTGATCCCCCTTTTTAAATTAAAACCAGTAGCTTTATCAGCAAATGAGATTTCTCTCCCTCTGGAAATACAAAAATGCACATAAATTGAACATGCCAACTTATCTCATTTTAGGGTTGGAGCATCTTCTGGGTTAACGACCACTGTTCCACATCTGTGACAGAACTAATTGGGGTAAGGAGGCCATAAATACATACAACTCCACCACAAATTCTCTTCCTTTGGGGTAATCTAAAGATTTATAGGTGGTAGAGTGAGACGTCATTGGAGGAGAAGGAAAAAAAAAAAAAGCGCCAAAATGCTTGCTTGATTATTCCGTCTCAGTTTCCAGGCACAGATCAGATTTGAAACAGACTTTTCCAGTACCTGATGTGACTTTCCCTTCCTCTCTAGAACCAAGTAAAATGCAGGGAACGCTTAATTTTTACTCTTTCTAGAGCAAAAAGCAAACAAACACACAACAATACCACAAAGCCAACAAATCTATCTTCTAAACAGACTACATGGACTGACCTAAAAAGCTGCACTCTAAGTGATAGCCCCAAATCAATTGCCCATCACCAGTTGCTTCAGACCATGATTCAACAAGTTGGTTTTTCTTTTACAGCTGACTACAGATGAAAGATCCTCTAAGAGAGAGCAAAGGCAGGTCTTGGTCAGAGCTCAACTTGTCTTTCTAGCAATCCAGCTTAATCTCCCAGTAATCTTTAATTGGAAAAGCTCAGTTATCAATCAATGAATTGATAGGGAGGAATAATTAAGATTTGTCTGCCATAAAAAGGTCAGAATATGTATGTCACTCGTTCATTATGGTTAAAATCAACTCTGACGACTTCACCCTTGATATTTCAGAACAAGTATTCTAAATTCACATGTACACGTGCAAAATGGAACACTTCTAGATGCAGGTGGAAGTTGAAGGATAACAAATTGTCATTATGAATTTGGAAACCACAGGGCAGAAAACATTGCCACGTTTTGCCAGTACACAAATGTTAACACATATAAAAGGCATTTCACACAGCTCCCCATTTCAGAATTCCAAGTTCTCTCTTTCACAAAAATACCTTTTCCAAGATTTGGGTTCTACATTCTCATCCAGATCGCTTTCAGGAACTATTTAATACAGCAAATCTGTCTCAAATAAATTTGAAAAGATGCCCACACGCTGTAATCAGTGGATGCCTGCAGAATGCAGGCCGCCCTCTGTCTCATACATACACGTGAAATAAGCTGAACACAATCTTAATCTTAGCTCGCAGCTCATGCAGCTGATCATCCTGCAGCAAGTCGCAAATCCACAGTACCCTCTGTAGGGCTTTTATGGACTCTGTCTTCTGTGTGCTTTATGTTGCTATAGTGAAAAGAAACACTATGAAATGTCTTTACAAGATGGTTCCTAAGCTGAATTAAGACCATCCTTCCCAATTAGATGATACTACAGGATTTAGAGGGTTAAGTTAAGCAATGTCAGGATGATTTAAACTGGTTTAAATGAAGAATTTCAGATAGAGCTCCATCACTGTTTTTTAGCCAGCACCAGTGTAAAAATATTATCTACAAAGCACTGTCAGAAACATCACCATGTACACGAACTACCAAAGACTGAGAGTTAAGTGAACAGTAAGGAGAAATATGAAAAAGTACAAGAAAGAGGAAAATTTCTCATGTTCTCATATGTTTGCCCCACTCTTTGACTTAATACTTTCTATTTCCTCTTCCTCTACATTCACCTGTAAAACACGCTTGACACCAAAAATTTAAGTTAGAAGCTTAAAATAAACCCTCCTTACAGGTGTGCATAAATCAGCATCTAAACACTTCAACTGACAATTAAGAATGCCAGGTAGCATAATGATCACCAGCACTGCAGATCAGTTTTCCAGTAGAGGCTCAAAGAACCGTGATTGTTGCTAGTGTAGGAATTTAAAATGAGTGCTACAAACCTTAGTGATTCTATGAAAACCATACTGACTAAGCTAAGATGATTTCAAAGGCTCCACAGAGAGATAACAGGCAATTCAACATGTGGAGAAAACAAGACAGGGTCTCCTTAGAACAACAATGGACAGTCATTTTCTCTTGCATACAGTTGGTTCAGGAATTGAGTGAAATCAAAACTGCCTCAAGACCATATTATTATAACTTAACAAGCAAAGGAGAATAATGCCTGCAACTGATCTGAAATAGCACTCAAAGCATCTGCTGCCTTGTACTTTGTGCTGTGTGTGTATTAAATGCTACCATACCAATCTATTAGAGCAGCAGATACAAACATCTAAATAGCACACAGTATAATGGAACTTCCTTCCCTAATACACATTAAGATGCTCTTCCAGTTAATCCACAAGCACAGAACAGATACTGAGTCCACAATTTTTTTTAAGTGTGTTCAGCAGGCAGAATAGAGAGATGACAACTTTTTCCCCTTCCTTCACGCAGACAGCCACATGCAGCATACTTATGCACAAAAAGAATGTGGCCATTGTTTCAGAGTGGCTAACAGCTAGGTTTGAAACTATTCTGCAGGGCAAAGCAACAAAGCAGCTTCGTGCATTTTCAGCAGGAATCATTCCTGTTGTGGTTTAAGTAATCAAAAGCAAATAAAGTTTAAATTCAGACTTACCATGGGGCACCGTATATCCGGAATCCTTTAACTGTTACTTCTGAATCTTGTAAGTAAATACTATTTGTCAGGAGTGACTGAACATTGTCAAAGTCCTCTGGTTTCAATTTGGACACAGAAGGAAAGCGGTAGTAATCTTGTTTAACAAGGTCTGCCATGAATTCCTTATCAAATGTCAGTTCATGATTCCCAGCGATCACTATTTTATATTCATATGGCAGGTTTCCTGAAATAACAAAAAGAGAGGACTTAATTAGCACATTCTTCTCCCACACCTCATTGCCAGCACAATAAGTAGACAGCTAGCAGTGACAGAATGAAATACCCAAAATCTGTGTGCATCTCCATTTTGAGCAGAAGTTATTAATACCGCCTCTCTTCCATTGAATTGAACTGTTTTGAAATGTAAAATAATGCCACAAAGAAACATCCTAATAAAAAGTGTGCACTTTCACAGATTCTGTCTCACTGAGACTTGCCAAAAATCACACGCAAGTTTGCATCAAAGCTAAAAGTAGTCTAACATGTCCCCTCTGCCTCCACTGTAAGTCTTATTCTCTTGTCTTTTAACCCATCTTTTATTTTGGTGCATATTCCTAACAATCATTTAGAAAATGATTTTTTTTTGTTCCACAAAGGTACAAGCAGGTGGATTCAATATATCTTTATATATTCACTTTCCGTACTGCTCATGGGTCTTTTGTTATTTACACAAACCACAAAGCAACAACTGACCCACCATAATTGTTAGTGCTGTTAGCACAGATCTCATATATATAATATGTATATATATACATACATATATACACACACACACACATATGTAGATGTTACCATCCACTAATCTGGAAGTAAAACACAGGTCCTCAAAACGTATGTGGAAATTCATGTGTACATCTGCCTGTTCTGGAACTTCCAACATCTGCCTCAAAGGAACAAGGACCTGGATGCTATGTATTTCTCTTGAATACTGTTCTCCTATTCATGAGCATTTGCTCTTTCACAGCTTTAACCTTTTAAACACTGTGTTTCAAGTAGCTTCTGAAAGTGTTTTTTCTTCTGTTAAAAAGAAGCTTTTAACAGTACCTGGAAGCACCTATATAGCAAGATTAACTTTCCCCTAAGAAAAGCTCACAGAACACTACTCCAAACTCTGCTTTTCAATATTTACACAGAAACTATGCAAGGAACACAAGCACCATCTTCACAAAAATCAGCTAACTCTGGATAGAATAACTAAAAGTTGTAAATCCCTTGAAAAAGGAAAAACACAATTTCATAGATTTCAAGACTGAACAAAATACAGGCCATATGTAGTTGTAACTCTACACTTCTACACTGGACTAAAAGCTGGGGGAGAACACTCCTCTACCTTATCCCCTTCCCCATGTCTGCTACACACATCTCTGATTCATTTTTACTGAAACACTGGAAGTGGCAAGTACCTACAATTCCTGCTCTTTGACAATCCTGGGCACAAGGTAAAATCCCTGCTTTCTTTTCTCAGGAAACACAAGAGACACAACTGGCGTGCGATGCGAGACACCCACCATAGCTGCAGTCCCCCCAAAACATGCTAAATGTGATTACATTCTCAGAAAAGTAGGATGAATATGTTAGATTCAAGTTTCTGCCACATTATCAACATTTGCAAGCTTTAGTAGAGAAAACTTCTCATCTTACTAGATAAATGCCCAGATTTTACGCTTTCTCCAGTTTATTTTGATAAGAGATTTGAAAATTGGTACATTTTCCTGATATTATGTTCAATTAAACCTGGGACGCTGTGTTTGAAGCCAGTGCTTTCTAACTTGCCATGTTAAAAAGAGGGCTTACTTTGAAGACATAGGACATGAAAAGACAGACCAGCTGCGGGATCAGTGATTATTGAAAGGTGCAAATGTAATAATCTGCATGTTATATAAACATCTGAATTCAGCAGGGAATAATCTAACAGTAATTGCTGTAGTTAATGCCCAAAAAACTATTCACATTACTGAACATGGCCCCGCTTGGTCAGGTTGTGAGTGCCAGCAATGGAAGAGGACCCTCAGGTTTTGTGCCAGGTAAAAGCAGGGAGCTCAAGACAGAGCTGTACTGATGAACCCTATGGATCAACAGCATGGCCTGAGAAATCCCAATTGTGACCAAAATGTGTCAGTGTCTGCTGTGAGCTCCAGCTCTGCTGTAGTTCATATACAGCGAAGAGCACAAACGCCTGAAGAGCAAGCAGTGCTGGCTTGAGATGTGTTTGCTACACATCCACATCCCATGCAGGGGCAAAACAAGATGTATTTCTTTCTATAACTATACATACGTTGTTATTTAGCACAGGATGGGGACAAAGTTTTAACCTGGCTCCCTTGCTCTGTTCCCTGTTTAAAACATTCTCCTTTTCTGGAGTGACAGCCACTGGTGCTGGCTCAAGGGAGAGAGATGAGAAACACAGCTCACAAAAACACAAATGTACCAAAAGCCAGGCCCAAGCAAAGGAGAGAAGCCAGAGAAAGTCTCATCCATTTCTCTTCTCTTCCCAGAGGAAAGACTATCCAGTACTAATCACAGTAATAAATTACCTGCAATTGGATTAGCTATTTGTTCATCGCATTTAGGTTTTCCCTTCCAGAAAGTCCTGCTGGCAGTGCACAACATTCATCCTCTCTGATACAATTTACGAAATATTTTGGCGTTTCTTCCTTTGACAGTTCTGCCCTTTGTCTATAATCTGCTGACCTTCTGTGCTTTATACAGGAGCATGAACAGCCACACACAAAATCTCCTACTCCGTGGTATTTCAGTTTCCATCTTGACTAGATTAATCTCTGCATTACTACTTCCATGCTGTTCGATAAGAGAGCCACTGCAGCACAGTGCACAGGCTGAAAGACATTCTCTGACTTTTCTTTACTGCATTTCTGCCAGCTGCACTTGGTCTTCACTATTTTCCCAACAATTATATTTTCCATCATGTATCACTAATATTATTCATTCTGTATTATACCGTGAATCTAGAAAAGGTAAGTATTATTTTTCAAGCTAGGAAAAGAGTTGATGTGTTTGACAGGATAAACTCTTCTCAAACCTCAACTCCCCAAGTAGTTTCTAAATTTAATTTAAAAATGCTTACCTGTTTTCCAGGAGAAATCAAAAAGCTACTAAAAATGATTAGAGCACTGTGTCTTCTAAGTAGTCACTTATACTGGAGTAGCTGAAATCTTAAGGTTTATACTAGTACACACACGTGTGAGTATCTTCCAATATGCCTTTACGCCTTTGTTCTCATTCCAGTGCCACTAAGCCTCTGTGCCAGCACAAGGATTTGGCAGCTGCAGAGCACGGCTCGTCAGGAAACAAACTGATCAAGATGAAAACTGATGTAGTAAGTAAGGAATGAGGCTTTGCAGGCTTCTGAGGCAGAACAGGACTTCCTTCACTGGCAGCAAACACAAATACTACTTTAAAGTGGTAGATGGAAAATAGGCTGAATTTAAGTATAAGAATTAGGGGAGGAAGTTTGGTGGGTTTTTTGGTTTTGTTTTTTGTTTTTAACTTACCTAAGTAGCTGTTTTGTTGTTTTTGTTTGTTTGTTTTAAGTTCACCTTAAATATTTGATCCTAATCTGTTGAACAGCCATTTCTATTTTAACAACATGCTTCATATGAGTCCAGCTTACTCACACAACCAAAGTTCTGCTGAATGCCAGACACGAAAAGGACTATGACTGGCAATGAATGTTAACTCAGAATTTATATGAAAATCCTTTTTTTTTTAACTAATGTTACCTACAGAACAGGTTTTGTAATGTGATACTAATTGTCTAAATAGTGGTAGAAGCCTGTATTTAGTACACAAATACTTCTGATGCAAAGCTCTGAATATCTATACACATGCATTAGCTATTCAAACCACACAACACTTCTATGAAAGGTTAAGTGCTTCCTTGTCCATTTCACAGACTCAAAGACCCTTTGGCCATATGCTAAGAACTGGGCTTAGAAACCTTGAAGTACAAATCTTTGTCCCTTCAAAAAGAAGGAAAATCTCTACAAGTGAGATGCCTGCACGAGTCAATTCCCTCCAATTCAGTGTACCATACGTGCTTCAAAGTCATAACTGGCCATGAAAACTATAAGCAACCATATATACCTCCAGAGATAAATACAGAATGAGTTGATTCTGTGCTGTTCTTATGGACTTCCAGTGACTGCAGCAGCTCAGGGTGCCACTGGTTGTCCAGCCACAGCTGCACAAGTGCCTGAGGGCAGCCAGCAAACATCACTAAACAGAACAGCAGTGCTGCCCAGCAGCACCGTGACTCCCCACAGAGGTTTCTTTGGGGATGCCCACTGAATCTCCAGCAGTAACTACTTTCTTCTCAGCATTTTCATCACAACCACAACACATGCAAATTCCTTCCAGCATTTTAAAAGAGCATTTGAAAGGCTCCGATTAATCCTTCAGCAGCAACAAATGCAATTTGCACAAGTGCAGTTAGACAGACTTGAGCTTTCACGTGAAACACTGGACTTCTCTCACCATAAAGGCTAACAGTCCACTCACTGTAGGTAAAGGGATTCAGAACTGGGTAAGAAAAACAAATATCTTTTCTAGGGTAAGATGGATTGGGAAAATTTTCTGGCTGTTTTGATCAAACAACTTGCTAAGAAAGTCCTCAATGGAAAAGCTAACACAGACACCAACTGATACATGGATTGAAAGCTTAAGCCATGTATGTCAATGCATCTTCCCCCTGTATCTGTACAAGTTTAAGGACTGAAATAAATAAAAAGAGTGGAAAAATTATAAAACATGCACAAAAATAGAACAAGCTTCTAAAGAAGGAGAAAGAGCTACAGTACAAGAGCTCACAAAATCTTCACGATGAAAATATTCCACCAGCTTTTAAAATTGCATCAGTTCAGATGCCTTTTGTTGTTGGTTTTTTTTTTCCACTCTAAAAGAACATTTGGAGAAGGAAAACTAAGGCAAAACACACACAGGCAATGCAGCAAGGCAAGTCGATGAATGAAAGTTTAAATGTTTTGCCTTTTTGCAAGGAAAACAGACCACAGCACAGGGAGAAGCAAAGGCTGAGACCCTTGAGTTCCTGTGATAAATCTAAAGCTTGCACATTAAAGCTCCCCTTTGTTGAAAATGCTGTTAGACACAACAAAACAGAAATGTTACGTAAGTGCAAGCTCTGCCTCTGACCTTTCACTCTGTAAC